AAGTTATATTGGTTTTTACATCAATCTTAAACTGTGAATCATACAGGCCTAGGCCCCTAGCATGTTAGTAACTGGAGAAAAATTGGTGTTGTTTCATAGGTGACGATGCACCTCACCATCTGTGCCCCCCCCCTTTCCAAAATCCTAGATCTGCCTATGTCCACATGGAATTGGCTTGGGGCGGTTTCCGTTGTCTTTCAGGGAATATCCAAGTACAGGTGGGAAAGATGCTAAAAGTTGAATAGCTTGCCAAAGTCACACATTCAATTCTAAATATTATAGAAGAAAGGCACCCATCTGATTTTCAGTCCCCATCCTACTCACTAAACGACGCTTTCTTTTTCGTGGCCATAATGAAACCTTTCTCGACTCTGCCACAAAAAGGACCCCCATTTATATTTGTTTTCAGGGGCAGATTGGGGGAGGGGGTACAATGGTGAAGTTGCATGCCCCTCTGCCCCCCTTTGATTCCTGCTTCACCCAAAATTTAAAACCAACTTCCTGGAAGTGGCAGCAGCATTTCTAATCAGGTAGTGTTGAGAAAGTCCACCGACTTCCTGGCTCTTTATCATGATATTATCACTGATGTTATGGTTCATTATCCTGTTAGTCTCTCCCCATGCGACAGCTGCTAAGGACCCTCTTTAACTGTCTTGATGTTTCACTCTTCAAACGATCCTTTTTTCTGCACCTTTACTGTCTGTTACTACTTTCTAGAAATCTTCCCTTTATTTCACAGCCCTACAAACTGTTTTTAGTGCTAGCTAAAAACCTTAGCTCAGGTGCGGTGATATGAACTCTGGCATAGAGATGATGGACAATGAAGTATTGGAGGTACTGTCAAGGTACTCAAGAAGGCTAGATTTTTTGTTATATTACATTGTATTAAATAATGTCATTATTATAATGTCATTATGATATACTGTTATACAGGTTTCCCTCGCCAGCCGCTGGGGTTAGGTTCCTGAAAGTTCCCATGGTTGGCAAGACAAAGGGCTTATGGGAAAAATGTCAGGTGGTGAGCTTAGGTGTGGCCTTGGAAAACTGTGGTTACTCAAAACTATACCGTGGTAGTCAAGATGGCATCTAGAATATTAAGCATGGATACTCAAAACCGGGGTTGGCGAGGGAAACCTGTATTGTATTACCTTGAACTATAGGGACTACTGGACTAACGAAGCAGAGAAACATAGAGATCCTCCCTCTCCAAACCATCCTGTTCACTCCTCTATTACAAGACTACCCCAGCAGCACGGACCTAACACCCCAACCTGCTGCAGGCGAAGTGAGGGACCCGCAGCAGCCACTGCCCTGCTGCTATGAAATGTTGTCAAGGGGCCTGGGGGAGATCAGCACCATACCCAGGCTCCTGGTGGCCCTGGGCAAACTTTTAGTATCGTCCTCCCAACCCCACCGATAATGATAATAATCAACATTATTTTCACCATTTTGGGGCCTCCTTTCTCTCCAGGCCCTGGGCGGCTGCCCACTCGACCCATGCCTGCATCCGGCTCTGGGGGAGAGGCCGTGCCCCAGTCTGGCCAGGGGTTGAAGTCCTTCCTGGCCCCGAATACGAAGGTCGGTCTGGCCCTGAGCAGAGAGGGGCAAGACCCTCTGCAGTGCAGGGCTCCGCAACAGTGTTGGCCCAGTGCCAAGCGCACCCGCACCCTCAGCTTGCGCGATGTGGGCGGCCAGGG